GGAGGACTTGCAGACACATCCTCACTTCTCCTGCTCTCCCCTCCAAGGAGGACCTGCAGACACATCCTCACTTCTCCTGCTGGCCCCTCCAAGGAAGTCTGGGCTGATCCCAGCCAAGGCCCCCAGACCTGCCTATAACTGGAGCTGGACCAGTGCCTGCCACTGCCACAGCAGTGCCTAACGAGCCACACTGAAGAATTACTGTGTCTGAAAAGCTGCAATGCTAAATGCCAGCTTGCCTGCCTTTTCCCAGCCATCATGTTAATTGAGTTTGTTTTCCTCACTGGAGCCCGGCCAGGGGGAAGAAAAAGGCTTTTTGTGTGGCAAACAAGAAGGATGGGCCACTGCTCATCCCTGCATCCTAAACCCTCTCTCCATCTGTTGCAAAGGGTGCACAGAGGCACAGACACATCAGTAGCTGGTAAGGGGAGCACAATAAGCTTATTTTGTTACCCCTTCGGTGTGGGTTGGGGCAACAAGCTTCCTTCAAGTATCTACCAAAGGATTTCTTTCCCCCTCCTGATTCCAGCCCGACACACAATCTGCTGAACACATGTGGATGAGGCTCCTTCACTGATGACAGAGCCTGGATGTGTCCATCAGCCTGGCACGACCATTAGAGCCATGATTTTGGCCCCCAAAAGTCCTCTCCCACAGCCCTGCTTTCTCAGGGCTCCTCTGGCCACCCTCACTAGGGCATTTTATAGCACTCAATGTCCCATCTTGTTTGGGCACCAGTGGCACTGCCCAGCCCTGGCAAGGAGATTTTGGTGTTTCTTGCTGTCCCAGGACTCCCCATCATCCTCTGTGCTTTGACATCCCTATGCAAGCCAGATGGAGGCTCACCAGCCCCCTCAGACCCTGAAGATGCCTCCCACCCCATCCCTGCATGGAGCCAGCCCAGCCCCAAATCCTCCACTCCTCTAGATGCTGCTCCATGCCATAGCTCCACACTCCCATCTTGTAGTGCAGGGCTCTCTGAACCAAAGGAGGAATATTTTGGCAGCAGAGGCCAGAGAGCAATTTTCTGACATTTTGGGATGCTCAGGGGTCTTCCCTCTTACCTCACAGTGGTTATAGTGCAGGTGTAATAATAACATATATAACCCAGCATTAAGTTTCATCTCTGAACAAAGCTTAAATACTGTGGAACATCATCCTGGGCACTGGCAGAAAATTACAGGGTCTGTCCTCAGGCTCTCCTGGCTCTTGCACAATTCCACCTCTCTGGCACCTTTGTCCCCAGGCTGGGGCTTTCCTGCCTTAGGCAGACCCAAAGCCAGCTCCAAGCAGCAGAGGTGCACCTGCCTCCATTTCAAGCACGTTGCTGGTCTCTCTGTGGCCCTGGGCAAGGATCTGACACATGGAGATGAATGTACAAATGCAAACACATCCTGCAGTCCCACAGCCACACATCTTGCTCCACCATCCATCATGTAAAGGGCACTGGGCTTTTGCCAGGCTATTTTCCTTGTCAGGAACAAATGTGTATTAGGTTGTTAATTAAACAGCAGCCAAGCTGCACTCGAACACAATTTGAGCCCACAAGGACCTTTTAATCCAATGTGAGTTTAAAAAAGCAGCCCTTGGGCTTTGTGCAGAGGCAGAAAGTGCTGGCTTGGATGGGGGTTGGCAGGGCAGGCAGTGGTGCTGCAGGGTGCCCTGTGAAGATGAGCAATATGAGGAGATACAGTGATATAAAGAGATTATAAAGTAAGTCCAAAAGGCTTTGCCTTTCTGAAGGGGCATTCATCCACCACTTGGGCCTTCCAGGTTGGCTTTTTGGTCATGAGAGTCTTTGGAACCATTTTTAACTTCAGACTCTCATCCCCTGAGCATTCCTCCCATGTCTCTCTGGCCCTGGCTAGCAATTCCTGTCCTGACAGGAGCTCTGGACAGGTTTTTGCTGGGCACAATCTTTCCTGGGGTACACAGAGCCCCACCCAGGGAAGCATCTCAGGGTTCTCAGCTCTCAGTCCATGTCAGGACACTCCACTCAGAGCACTGTTTTGCTCTTTCCCTTCCAGATCAGAAATAGTCTCTTCCTGAACACACTCCTACTGCACCAGGACTTCTCAAAGTACACAGCCACTCTGTACACAGCCTTCAGTTCAGGATCTGAAAGGAAATTATTTACAACGAAAGGACAACAATGGATGGAGGAGCTCTGCCTGTGAGCACAGCTGAGGTGCTCGCCTGAATGTTTTGCACAAGCAAACCAGAGTATCAGGAGATGGCAAGAGCCCAGGACAGGTGCAGTGGAGATGTGGCTGGTCAGGTACAAGAGCTGCTAACACAGCCCAAGGTGCACAAAAAATCCCTGCTTGGGAGCCCACCAAGCCCAGTGTGGAGAAGTAAAGCCCTTCCAAGGAGGTGTGATGTCCATCCAGGCTGCTGACCTCAGTCCCATCCCGCAATACTAGAAATACATAAATCAAAATCAGCACCACCAATCTCTCAACACAAGGCAGAAGCCACTCCAGCTTGGATGGCATTAAAAGGGGTGCTCAGAAGAGCTACTGGAGCAGAAAGAAGCACTGGGATGTGTATTAGGGGGTTAGTAAGAACTGGGGAGCTACAGACTGCCTCAGAGGGAGCTAGGAATGGCAGGTCATGCTTTAGCACAGACCTTGTGTGGTTCCCCCAGCACCAAGGTGTAAATCCCTCCAGTCTGACAAATCCCCTTAATCCCACTCCCACTTCTCCACCATATCCATATTGAGGAAGCCAGAAACAAATCTTTAAGATTTGGCAGCCCAGGGTGAGGTACAGAGAGACAGATGAGTATGAAGCAGGCCCTGTGGGGGAGTCTGCTCCTGGAAAACCTGAATTTCCCAGGCTCCAAGTGTACAACAAGCTGCCCAGGGGTCACATATTGAGACCTTGCTTTGGGTAAAACAGACAAGTGCCACCCACTGCCAGCTGGCACTGCACACATCCCTCTGCAAGCACTCTTGGGACAGAGGGAGTAGAAATTTTCTCTGTCCTCTCACTTAAAGGGGCTTTTTTCATGTCAGCAATATAATGTGTTTATCTTTACAGGACCTGTAAAAGATCACAAAGCACTTGGAAAGGGAAACTCATCCTAACCAGGGTGCTGCAAGCAGGCTGGGGGCAGGAGCCCTTATAGGGTCAGCGGAGCTGGGAAAGCACAGAGCAGTTATCAGGAGCGTTGGATTAGATTCAAAGCACCACAAACAAAGAAAACTAACAGCAGGGAGGACAGGCATAGGGGTCTCACAGAGAGAAGCCATAATTTTGTGGGGCACAAAAATGAACAGCAGGGAGGACAGGAGTAGGGGTCTTACAGAGAGAAGCCATAATTTTGTGGGGCACAAAAATGAACAGCAGGGAGGACAGGCATAGGGATCTTATAGAGAGAAGCCATAATTTTATGGGGAACACTGACCTGCAAGCAGAGAGGGGGGAAGAAGGGGGTCCCAGCTACTCTGGCCCACAGACCAGCAGCGTGCCCTGGCCAACACTCACCCTCTGCTGACAATGAGGCGCAGGGCGTCCAGGTTGCCGTGGTAGGCGGCCCATAGGGTCGGGGTCATGCCATCCTCGTCTGGCGAGTTCAGGTCCTTCTTGGTGGCTTCCTTCAGCAGGTCCAGGTAGCCATCCCGGGCAGCTCGGTGGTACTGGTCATTCATGGTGCGAAGGGGTCCCCGGGCCAGCACATGGGTGCCCAGGGGGTCCGGAGCATGGGCACGGAGGTGGGGCAGGGGCAGCTGCCGCTCTGCCACGGCTCCGCTCTGTACCGGGACACCTGAGAAGTCCCGGCCGCGGAGGCAGGAGCCGTTCCAAGCCCAGCCAGGCAGGCTCCACAGCGCTTCCCCTGGGTCCTAAGCATCCTCCGGCCCCGGCGGCTCCTTGTAACACGCACCAGCTCCACGGCACATTAAAAGCTCTAATTAAGCAGCATCGCTCTGTTGGGCTCAGCAAGGGGTCACACAGCAGCAGTTCACCAGGTTTACGTGTCCCCAAAGCAGAGCAGGCTGTCAGGCAGGCTGCTGGGTTGTATCCTGCTCAATGTGCCTCTATTCCATAGCTACCCCATCTCAAGCAAGGGGCAGCAGTAGCCAGAGGAGGAAGAGTGGGTCAGAAGAGCACAAACCCCCACGGCCTCCACTCACAGCCCTGTCAGAGCGGGGACCTGGATGGATAATCCTGCTCTGTGTGGAGTTGGCTGAGAGCAGTTTTGGTGACTGATTTAAAAGTAATACCAGGGCTGTTCACAGCTCAGCTTTTCCTCACTAAAAAAATCCCCCAAACATTTATTTATTTATTTATTTATTTTATTTATATCTCTCCCTAGTGTCACTAGGAAGACAACAGAAGACCCAGCCACCATACCTATCCCCCATCTACCCTGCCTATACCCACCGAACTCTGCTTTCCAAGCAATTGCACAACGAACTGTGCAATGGGAATCTGATAAACCAAGGAAACTCATAAGAGCTGGAAATATTCCCTTTCTCACCTCTT